AGTTTGCAGTCTGTCTTCGGCGCTTAGACTTCTCTGCACCCGCTCGACATCCACCACCTGTTAACTTCTGTAATGATATTAGGACGAGTACGCGCTGACTCTGACCGCCGAAACACGGGATGGGGTATGCGCTCATGTCTCCCATTCCAACTACACCCTTCCCTTTACATGCCGCTTGAATCCTCCATCTCGCTGCCATTTCAGCGGATGACACATTTATCTCCAACTTACTTTCCAGTCGCCTGGCGTGTGAGTCTCTCCTCCGCCGGTGACCGTCTGGACTCCGCGAATGTCCATGACTTCTTCCGCGCTTATCCCGCGCGTCTACTGAATGTCCTCCAGTGGGCGTCCCCAAGTCCGCCATTGGATGGATGGCGGGAGGACCTTCTCTCCTTCGGGTGAACTCCGGGGTAGCTCCGTCTATGGCAGACAACGGAAACTCGTCGTTGTTCGCCATGGACGGCGATCAGATAAACCCGGAAGACAAGGTTTTGTTTGTCAAGTTCCCACAGACGACACCAATTGTACGGGGAGCAAATATTCCGGCAAGCCCGTACTCCTTTCTTCCGAGCTCCGTTTATGTCCGATCACCTGCATGCAAATAATGGTGAGCTACCCGGCAGTGTGTGGCTGGAAAAACCCTCCGACGACCAAATTAGCACACACCTTAGGATAGAGAGAGAGAGAGGTGTTTGAGTGTAAGAAATTCCTTACAAAGTGTTCATGTGTCGCGTATGGGGGGCGCAGACATGCTTATATGCCCTCTGTGCCCCATATCTACTCCCAGTCATCCCCTGACACGTGGCTTCGCTATCCCATCTGTCAGCATAAACCTTGCTGAACATCACCTAATCTCAACTGCCTGCCTTCACAGCTGGAGCTCGGCAGCTGAGCTGCTCTGTCCGTTGCCGTGCCGTGCCATGCTTCATACCCAAGCACTTCACTGGCTAAGTCCAAGAAGGATCGGGCTAGGTGACATCTCGGCAAAGCCTAGCCCGAGGCACCTCCTGTGGCCGGCCTTTCTACCAGACAAACAGTTACCTCGGTTGACCACGCCTTTCCGGGCACCGGTCACTCCGCTTGTCTTGCTTCGGCCATTGCCTGGTTGAGCAGCTCGGTCCAACCGAGCAGCTTCTTTACGGTCTGGGGCGACACACACTCGGCCCAAGTTCTGCCCGGCCCAAGTTCTGGCAGCCCATCTCTTGGCAGATAGTCAATCATCTCGGCCCCATGCACCGTTGGGCTCTCAACCTGCTTGGCCATTACCACGGCCCAACTCCAGATCATAAATCACCCTCTCAATCATCATCAAAACAACATCATCATCAAACAACATCAAACATCATCATCAAAACAACATCAAGCATCACAACATCATCATCAAACAACATCAAACATCATCATCATCAACATCAAACGTTATCACATCATCAACAACACAACAACACAACAACACAATATCAAACATCACAACAACATCATTGGATATAATATTAATACACTAATTAATGGATATAATACCACTCTTCAACCATTGGATTGAATCTATCAAAATGTCCGCACACAATCAATTCTCATTAAACCTAATTCACACCCTCAATCCATCTCATTTCATTCATCGTCTGTTGCTCTTCACCTCCCTGATCGGCGTCACTAGCCTTGCTGCCACCGCGCCGCCGCCGCTCTTCGCTCGTCGCCGGTGCTGCTCTTTGCTTGTGGTACGTAGCTCTCTCTCTCTCTTTGTTCTTTCTCTTTGCTCTTTCTCCATTCCTTAATGCTCCACAGATTTCTCTTTCTGTTTGCTCTATTCCTTAGGGTTAGAAACAACGCCGAAAGCTTTGTAGTTGTCGAGAACACTGATCCAGTACCACACCGATCAACATCGTCAACATCAGCGCCGATCCACACCGATCCAGTACCACCGTCATGAGATTGTGACCTCTCTGCCTTCGTGGTTCGCAATCATCCGCAACGTTTGTTGGGAAAAGGCCGATCTTAATGTTGATGATGATGTTGGCGATAATGTTGATGTTCGCTGGATCTTAATGTTTTTGTTGTGATGTTAATGTTAATGATGATGTTTGATAATGTTGATGTTGGTGATGATGTTTGATGTTCGCTGGATCTTAATGTTTGATGAATAATGATTATCAATGTTTGATGAATAATGTTGATAAATGGGTCTTAACATTCAAATGGGTATATATGTTGGTGATGTTCGATCCTTGTTTGATGACTAATGTTGGTGCTGATGATGATTATTAAATAAACAACATTACCAAAATAAAATGGGACTAAATGGTGCATAAGAAAACTTTTAGGACTAAATGGTTCAACTTTTCAGAAAATAAGATTTATGGGTAAATTTTCCTTTTTTTTATTGGACTATTATTTGGTGAAACTGACAATTCAATTTATTTTGTTTCATAAACCCCTACTAATAAGAAAACACATAATTGAGTAAGGATAAAGTAAAATATTATTTTTTTTCTTAGATAATATTACCAGAATAACATGTTACTGTCAAATAGAGTAACATGTGACTGTTACTGTTTACATTAACTTTGACGGTAACAATTTTTTTTTAAAAAGAATTTCATAGTTCATGTTGATTTTATTTGATAGATTTTGATAAGAGAATTTAAAAAATACCAATTTTATTAAAAACCGATATCTATATCAAAAGTTATAATATTTTAAAGTTTAATATTTTGATAATAATAATATGTGTTGGACTTTTCAAGAATTTTTTTTTATGCTTATCCTTAATACATTAAAATTTTGTTATGAGAGATTTTGACCAAATCTCCAAAATTAAATCTATCTAACAATAACAACATTATGATCAAAATAATTTTATGGTCTCTTTTGAGAAGTGGGTTAAAAATTACTTCCCAACTTTTAACCCATTTTAAGTCACATCATCTCTCATACTTTTTTTTAAAAAATAAAAATAAAAAATAAAAAACCAACTTCTAACTATCAAATTTTAATTATATCAATAAAAATAAATAAACTAATTTTTGTTCACTTGCGATCTCTATTTTGACAACAACGACAGTCCACAACAGTCTTCTCCAGCAAGACTCCAACAATTTGAACTTCACGATCTTCTCGCTCTTCAACTACTTTCTCTATCCTCCATCTTCGACTCGATTCCTACTCTATTCCCTCACAATTTCACTGAATTTCAAGCACACAACCTTCGAGATTTCAATGCTACCAAACTGAAAATCGATGTCGGTGATCAACTTGAAGAGTGTAGAGGGTCAGAAATTAAGCCCCAAATTAAGTATGGGCCTAAGTACTGAGGTCGCCCCAAAGAGGCGACCGTGAATAAAAAAATGAACATGGGCTAAAGCCCAGGGGAAGTGAGCCAACAATGGACCGAAGCAAGTTCGACCCACCAAGGGTCCAAATGGACTCTAGGAAGGAAAATGCCTAAGTCAAGTTGCTGAGGCAACACATGCAGCGGGAAAGTTGCTGAGACACTTTGCCTCAGCGCCACAATTCCTAATATCTTCAGTTCCGCCGCCATCCGAAGTTGCTGAGGGAAAGAGAAAATTGAAGTAACTAAGTTGCAGAGGCAGTACTTGTAGCGCCCAAGTTGCGGAGGGATTCTATCGGCGTTGTTAATTCTAATATTGTCGGTCCTGCCGTCTGAACTCGCCGCGAGAAATGGTTACTGCAGTAACTAAGTTGCAGAGAGAATATCCTGCCAAGGTGATAGCAGCCTTTGAGAGAAGGCTTCCCTCTGCAAGTAGAGGCTAATGTTTGGCACTGATAGCAGTCCCGAAAGTTCATTTAACTTGGCACTGATAGTAGGCCCCAAGACTTATTGGTTGGAGCTAATAGCAAGCCTAAAGATACCAGTTTACTGCGGCAATCTCTCAAAGATTGGAGCACGGTAGCCCTAGCATAAGGGACTCCCTTTCCATTACCCAAGTCATGGACCTGTCTTAGTCGCGCAGGCAGGACTAAGGAAGCCCCTCTTGGGTTTGGTACTAACGTACAACATGGCTGATAGTAGGCTTGGTTGTGGTCTTCGCCCTAGGAAGCTGGGGAGTTTGTGGTTAGGTGGCTAAGGGTGGAGGTTTCGTTAAGGTGAACACAAACATAGCCGATAGCAGGCTAATAGAGTCCTGAGGATGCATGTACTGGCCAAATAAAACTGAAAAGGTAAGTGCAACGGCAAGGTTTACTGTTGCAAATGCACTTGCTGAGATTCAGGCTGAGAAGGCAAGTGCTGAAGCAAACACTACCGCTGCAACTGCACTTGCTGAGGCTTAAAAGGGAGTTGTGACGCCAAACACTCCCGTCGCAATTACACTTGCTGAGACTCAAAAAAGGTAGTTGCAGAGGCAAACAAATAGTATACAGTACACGCAAAGGGACACGTGGCACCTTTAGCCTGGTGGCTTAAGGCAGAATATTCCATGTGATCCTCTGGGATACATGTTTTCTCTCTATTTGGCCACTTGGTGTCCTCTTGGCACCAAGGAAAAGCCTATAAATAGGACCTATTTCCCAAGGTTCAAGAAGAGAAATTTTGGGGATTTAGGGGAGATGCTGTCCATTTTGGTACTGCCATACATTTTTTCTTGAGCCACTTGCTTCTCTCTCACCCATCTACACATTCTCTAACTGCCTAGACAATTACTGCTGCTCATTCTCCAACTACTTCCACCATTATTGGACCATTAACATAGTTTTGCCTCTCTAATCACCCCTCTACCCTGGAACCCCCCACATTTCTGGCGACTCCGCTGGGAAAGCTGCTTTGTTAATGGTTCATACCCGTAGTGGCTTATACACTTCACTGGAAAAGATGGTAAATGATGAAGTTCAGCAACCTCCACGGCAGCAAAGCTCTTCTAATGGCAGAGCAACACATATGGAGGACTGTGACCACAGTGTTATGATTGAGGCAGTGCAGTCTTCAGGATACGCAGAGGGAGATCCTGACAGCTTTGCAAACTCTTACTAAGGCTATTGTGGCCATGGCTTCTAGACCAGCTCCAGTGCAAGCACCTCCGCCTGTAGTAGTCCCAAACCCAGCGCCTAACCTGTTCCCTGAGGTTTGGGCTCCGATCCAGGTGCCTCCGGTGGTACCTCAAGCGAATGGTACGGCCGCTGGTACAAGCTATGCTCGAGCAAAAGCGCAGCAAGAAGCAACTACCATCTCTTCCCAACCTAGATGTGAAGCCCCCATACTCTCAGGAGATATTGACCATGTCATACCCAACTGGGTATACAGTGCCCAAGTTTATTAAGCTTGATGGAAAACAAGGCAATGCTAGAGAACACGTGGTGAGGTTCATTGAAACTCTTGGTGTCCATGGAAGTGACCACTCTCTGTGCCTTCGGGAGTTCTTCAAATCACTTACCAAAAGGGCTTACAGCTGGTATTTGACTTGGCTCCTAACTCGATCAAGAGTTGGGAGGAGATGGTGAACAAGTTCCACGCGAAATTCTTCCAAGTCCAGGAGAAAGTTACAACCCTTACACTTGGGCGAGATGTCCAAAAAGAAGGCGAAGCTATGCTGGACTATGTTAAGCGGTTCCAAGATAAGGCTATTGACTGTCATGAACCAATGGATAAAGCCTATTTAGTCAGCATATGTGTGGAGGGTGCCATACGCGACTACAAAATTTTCCTGGTGAATCATAATCTGCTTACTTTTTCAGCCGTGATTGAGGTAGCTAGGTACCTCAGTACCACTGGTCCCTTGCACAGATCTCGTGATAGCCACCGCTACTCCCGCAGTAGCAGCGTTGCTACGGTAACCTCTGTAGAAGGGAGCCGCTCGCAAGGGAAGGCATCATTCTCTTGGAAGAAGAAGAGTTATGAGAACAGGAATCCATATCCTTGCAGCCTTGAGAATGTTAAGGCCTTGGTTAAAGAATGGGTAGCTAATGGTGAACTTACTTTGCCTCTAGTTGATATCCCTTCAACCAAGAAGGACAAAAAAAGCCCAGATTACTGTGTCTATCACAGAACCACCAATCACCCCACTAGGGACTGTTGGTCTTTGAACAGTATCTTCAAGAAGAAAGTTGACGCAAATGAGCTGAAGTTCAAAGACGCAGGTAATCATGACATAAGGAAGGACCCTTATCCTAATCACATAAAGAAGGAGAAGAATGTGCATATGATTGGGTACCTTGAGCCTGTGCGTGATCAAGTGCACATGGCGTCCTATTATGATGAGTTAGAAGAGATCGCTACTGGCCAGCTTCCTGAGACAATACCTGTAGAGGCAAAATTCACAGAGGATACTCATGCTTAGGCCTTGCAAAACTCTGTTAAGTTTCGCGCCTTCTTTGACCAGCTGGGGCTGAGCCAAGCCACCAGGTTAGAAGCAACAAAGGCCTTCATTAACATCTCCGAAGTGCACCATGATGAAGTTGCTGAAGCTAAGGAGTATGTGCCTCGGCGCATCCAAGAAGATTACGGGGTCATCACTTTTTTAGAAGCAGACAGAGCATACCCATTTCCTCATAACTGTCTTCTTTTTGTCACAGCTTACATCAATGATGTAAAGTTCAAGCGTGCTTTCCTTGATGGTAGGGCATCTATAAACATCATCACTACTGACACCTTTGTAAATGCTGGTATCCCAGAGTCCAAAATGGTTCGCCAACCCATCACTATAACGAGATTTGGTGGTGAGAAGAAGGTTACTAAGGGCCATATTGTACTGGACTTAGCTGTTGATGAGATCCACTCCACCACTAAGTTCCATGTGATTGAAGCGGACACAAATTACCACATGATACTTGGAAGAGCTTGGATGCACCGATATGGAGCTATCCCGTCGAGTTATCACCAATACGTAAAGGCAAAGTTAGGAAATGCACAGTAACCATAAATGCATCTGAAAGGCCATTCTGAGTAGAGGAGGTACACTATTTAGATGTTGTCAACAGATGAAACTCCAAGGACTGGTAAAATTGCAGGGGTAAAGTTACCAAAGTGGGAAGACATTCGAGATGCAGAGGCTGCTCTAGAAAGTAGTGGGCAGAAAAGGAGCAGCAAGTCCACAAGTTCTCTGCCCAAGATTGTTAGGATAAATGAGGGCGGTAAGATAGTTTACTACCTATGACAGTCTTGGAGGCCAGACTTCATACCTTTGGAGGATGGCCCCGAGATGAATAAGTGTGATAGTGATGGGTCCCAAGAAGGTTAGTGAAGATGTCTGAGCCCGCCCTTGAATGCATGCAAGATAGACCCAAACCGCAACGGAAGGTACTTGCTGAGGTCAACCTTAGTGACTTACCATAATAAAGCAAGCCCATGTTTATCAGTGATATAATGGCTCCAGCAGTTAAGGCAGAATTGATAACATTACTAAAGTGATACCGTGACGTCTTTGCTTAGACATATGACGAGATGCCTGGTCTTGACCCATCCCTTGTCACTCATCATCTGGACACTTTTCCCAACTCTAAACCAATCAAGCAACATGCTCGAAAGTATCACCTTGATCTTGAAGCAAAGATTAAGGCGGAGGTAGAAAAGTTGCAGAGGGCTAAGTTCATCGAGCCTATACAGTACCCAACTTGGCTAGCAAATATTGTGCCTGTGCAGAAAAAGAACTGTCAGATCTGGGTTTGCGTAGACTTTCGCGACCTGAATAAGGCCTGCCCGAAAGACGAGTTTCCATTGCCCCATATTGACACACTTGTCGATTCTACTGTGGGCCATCAGATGTTCTCCTTTATTGATGGGTTTAGTGGTTATAACCAGATCAAAATGGTACCAGAAGATGCAAAAAGATAGCTTTCAGAATGCCCTTGGAAAAAATTTTCTATATGGTGATACCCTTCGGTTTGAAAAACGTGGGGGCAGCCTACCAACAGGCTATGACTGCAATGTTCCACGACATGTTGCATAATGAAGTGGAAGTATATGTGGATGATCTGGTGGTCAAGTCTACTGAGGCAAACCGACACCTCTGCGACTTGGAAAAAGTTTTTCAGCGTTGCCGTAAATTCTGCCTAAAAATGAACCCACTCAAGTATGCCTTTGGAGTTACCGCCGACAAGTTCCTTAGCTTTCTTGTACACTAGTGGGGGATCGAAGTAGATGGGGATAAGGTCAAGTCAATCATGGAGATGCCACCACCACTGTAACGCCCTCAAAATAAACCCATAAATCATCCAACAATAGCATGCTTACACATAAGAAAATAAAGCATAAATATATTCCATCAGAGTAATCATTATAAAACGTATTACATGTTGACAACAAAAGTAAATGCCCTATAGGCTTACAACTTTCCAAGTCAACACTTGGTACAAAAGAGAGTACTAACTCTATACAAAGAAAGCCTTTGGCTTGATATACATGTAATACATCAAAAGAAAACAAAACAACAGAAACAGTCTACCTGCCTCTAGCCTCCCAAGCTATGTCCTTGGAGGTGGCATGCTACCTGTACCTAAAATTGATGTCCCATAAAGGGTGAGCCACAGCTCAGTAGAAATATACTAAACCAACTATAAACAATGACTAAAGTAATAGCATTCAATAGATGGTCCACACTTGTATTTCAACGTATTTCGTATTACAGTTTCACGACAGTCATGCCCATGGCACACATCAGTTTCCATTTCTTATTCAACTTTGAGTTTGAAAACAAGGCTTAGAACCTAGCCAAATGACTTAATGAGATTAAGACTCATCTTTAAAACACTTTCGAAATTCATGATGGATACACATTTTGATGCTGTATCAATAACACATAGAAACACTTCTATGCTTTCCAATTGATAACGATATACATTTTAGTGCTATATCAAATCAATTGAAACACTTCCGTAATCCATACTTGATACACATTGTAGTGCTGTATCAATGTCACACAAAATCCGGTTTAGAGGTTCATCCCTTATCTTCCCCTAAACCGTGGAGTACATCCCCTATCTCCTCCCACACACAATGTATATAAACAGAGATCATATACATAATCAATCAATACATAAAGTTAATGTATTATTCCAACCGCTATACTCGATAGCATACTCGATCGATTAGTTTTAGTTTACCTAATCATCATGCATTGTCTACAACAATCAAGACTATCCTCCACTGATAGCCCAAAGCAGTTATTTCTAAACAGAAAATAAATGCACCAAATGGATAAAATATCAACATTTCAACTAGGTGAGTGATAAATGATTCAACTACACCCTTTAATCCCATACGATCCCAATTCCAACATTTTCAATTCAACTTTTCATTTCTCAAGATTAATTTCACAAATTAATTCATCAATGTAATTAAGGCATTTCCCATAATTAACAAAATAATCCTAAGGTTCCATTTCTATCAATAACCCAACATTTATCTCATTTCTCCATGCTAAACATGCATATAGACTTATATAAGTAAAACCCCATTTTTTTGTAAAATTACATAAAGGCCCAAACTTTCTCAAAATACCTAACAACCCCCAACATATCAAAATGCTAAGATTTAAAGACAAAGCTCATAAAGAGGAGTAGGATATCCCTACCTCGAAGTTAGAACTCAAATGGATAGGGAGACCAAACTCAAAGTACTCCAAATTTCAAACTTTTCGGATCAAAACGAAGCCCTCGACGATCAACACACCTTTTACAAAGATAACAAGGTAGTGGGACACTCTAGCTAGATCAAACCCTAGAGAGAAGGGAGATTCTAGAGAGAGGAGCTCTCAAAATCAATTTTGGGAAAGTAAGAGAGAGAGAGAGAAAGTGTAAAAAGTGATTCAAAAATGCCCAGCTGCCCATTGATATACGACACTCCCGCTCGAGCGGAGAATAGAAAGCTTGAGCGTCAAGTACAAAAATCTGGACACGCTCAAGCGCAAAAAGGCCCGCTCGAGCTCCAAGACACAAGAATAGAATACATCCGCTCGAGCGCGAAAACCAGTCCGCTCGAGCGTAGATTTCCCCCTCCCAGAACTTTCACAGACAAAACACTACCCGCTCGAACGCCAACTTACCCGCTCGAGCGCGACCCGCTCGAGCGTGAAAAACACACCTGCAGAAGTTTTGCAGGGACACGAGATACTGGGAGTGTGTAAATCCCGCTCAAGCACAAGAAGGCCCGCTCGAGCAGAAAACGAAAAACCAAACTACGCTCAAGCGCAGAATGATCCGCTCGAGCGTAACACCAAAAACCTGGGCAACTACACTTGAGACCAAAACTCAACCTACCTGTTCAGAACACGCCCAACACATCCTATAACTCAAATACAAGGTACGAAAGGATGTAAACAAGATATAAACAACTGCTAACATCCACGGAACCAAGTCCGGATCACTGTACAACAAGGGATAAAACTCGAAATCGCTGTAACACTCTCAAAAGGCCTTGAAGAAATTCCTAGACAAAGTGTCATACCTCAGGAGATTCCAACCCTTGCTGAGATAACCTTTTCCTTTGGGACACTGCTAAAAGGGAATCCCAAGTTTGAATGGTTGTAAGAATACTAATAGGCATTTGATATGGTGAAGAAAGCATTTACTTCTCCACTTACAATGATTGCCCACAACCCGAAAAGCCTCTGCTACTGTACCTGACCTTTACACCTCGGTCTATTGGAGCTCTACTTGTCCAAGATATAGATGGCATTGAGAAACTAGTCTATTACATCAGTCGCAAGGCCAATGATGTTGAGTCGCGATATACCCAATTGGTAGGCATTGTTTAGCCTTAATCTTCACAGCGTAGAAATTGAGCCACTACTTTTTGGCATACCCGATCTAGGTTGTGACTCGAAGTGATCCAGTCCGTTACTTGCTGAGCAAGCCCGCTCTAACTAGAAGAATGGCAAGATGGCTTTTGGTTCTAGCAAAATATGACATCACTTATGTTTCTTCCAAGGCTATTAAGAGTCAAGCACTTGCAGACTTACTGGCCCAATTCCCATCTGGTGAGCATGAACCTGCAAAGGTAGCTCTACCAAGTGAGGTCCATGTCTCAGTAGCTGCGGTTGAGACTTATTGGGACTTAAAATTGGATGGAGCTTCTTAAGCTGGGAAATGTGGAGCTGGCATAACACTAACCAGTCAAGAAGGAGAGAAGTTTCATCTGTCATATAAGCTTGACTTTGAATGTTTGAACGAGGCTGGATATGAGGCGTTGATACTAGGTCTAATTGTTGCCCAAAAAAAGGCCTCCGCAAATTGAAAATTTGGGGCGACTCCAAGCTAGTTGTCAAGCAAACAATGGGTGCTTTCCCATTGAATGAGCCTCTGTTGCACCGTGGTTTAAAGGTTGCTCACTCAATTTGATGATGTTCAAATCCAGCATACCCCATGAACACACTACCGTTTTCCCGATGTCTTGGCTACACTGGGGATAACGGTGGATATACCAGATGATAGTATAGCCATTGTCATCGAGAAAAGAATAACACCGGCAGCGTTAACCAAAGAACATATAGAGCAAGATGTTGAGGGGTGGAAAGCAGATATAATCTAGTAGTTGAAAACATGCCAGGGAACAATCAGACCAGCAGAACTTGCATCATTTCTGCTCCTCAGAGGAGAGTTGTATTTTCGTGGTCTCAACAACCTGCTGGCAAGGTGCGTCGGTAGACAAGAAACAACTTATTGACTTAAGTAGATCTATGCTAAGTCCTGCGGAGATAGAGACAATAGTCTATACCAAAGGATATAGAGGCAAGGGTATTACTAGCCAAAGATGGAAAAGGAAAGTACTGAGCTGTAGAGGCAATGTGCAAAGTGTCAGTCTCATCCTAAGGAAGAGGAAGGCCATTTCTTAAGTAGTGAAGAATAGAGGCAACCATATATTGACTACCTTGGAAATGGCACACTGCCTGAAAACAAAGCCGATACAATTAGAGTTAAG